CTCCACTCCCCTCTTCTATGCTTATACAGGCTGCTGGGAATTCAAAGAGCTTCGATATCAATTGTGTTTGGCAACGCGCTGTTTGCGTGCCACCACCGCATGTGCGTCATTGCCGCTGCAGTCAGTTTGTCGAGCACTTCTCCGGCGTAGCCCCGCAGAAGCTGTGGAAGCAACGGGACTTGAGGTCTATCCGTGCGCTCTGCCTCGGCTTCGGCTTCGGCTGAGAGAGAGAGAGGGAGAGTGATGGAAGGCGAGAGAGAGAGAGAGAGAAAGAGTGAGAGAGAGAGAGGAGAGAAAGACAGGGAGAGGGAGGGAGGAATGGAGAGAGAGAGAGAGATACAGAGTGAGAGAGAGATAGACGTAGACAGGTGGCGACACAGAGACGCCCCACAGTCGCACCGCCACCAGATATTGACTTGTTATCTGCCCGTCTCGATAGGAGAAAAAACGAAGTACGCAAACATTAACACACATCATTCTGAACGACTGTGTGATATCGTGTGAGGCCGTGGGACCAATTCACCCCCATTCAAAGGCAATTCGGGTTCTTGAGCGGCTGAACGGCCTGCAAGGGAGACGCTTCCACAGCCGCATATGCTCAGTGAGGTGATCAGAAGGGTATGTATCTTGGTGGAACACTCGTGCCGATCTCATAACGCGGACGCCACATCCAGCTGAACGTGCACAGCGAAACAAAGACTCATCTCGCCAGTGGGTCACATTGCCTTCGCTTCTACACCAGAAATGGCTTGCGCGAGTGGCCATATCTCTGTACCAATGATCGCCAAATCATGTGGACATCTGGTGAACTAGTAGAGTATGCTACCGCTTCCACGGGATGAGCTACGCACTGCTGGTGTGGCTCCTCCACCAATTCGTCGGGTACGAGCTGGCAGTCTCCACGGGCATCCTGGACTGGGCCAGGTGGGGGATCGGGTGGATCGCCTGCTGAGCTGCGAGGTGGCGAGAAGATAGCCAGGCGGGAACTTTTCTAATGCACCATGCAAGACCACCTGGACGAGCTCGCGCTAGAGGTAGGAATATCCTTCGAGGCGCTCGCCGTGTACACCGAGACTACTCGGCTTAACTCTTCATTGTAATAGGACGTGGCGGGGATTGGTCACAGCGTCGAGGGCGATTGTGCAAATATGGCGCGTGGCTCGTCCCCAGCGCTCGAGAGGGCGACCCGTGCGGTGCTCCAGGCGAGGGAACGGAGGGCCACCCCCTCAGCCAACCTGCTGGAGTCGATCAATACCGATCTTCTTGGTGCAGCCGCCGCAGATGTCAGTCCCCCTGATGAGTTTCCTGCTGCTGCACCAGGCGTTCTTGTGCAGGTGGAGCCTACGGATCGCACTGCCACGAGCCCCTGCGACTCGACCTGGATCACACTCCGCACGTGAGGCAATGAATGCGATCTTGGGCAAATTTCTCTGACTCTGACACTAAGCTCGACGCACGATACGGATGATGGTCCTCGGCAGCAGGGAGGCATCCCATCAATATGTTCTCGTAGTTTTGACCGCGGAGCCTGGACCAGGCATTCTGGCAATATCCAGAACTTCAGGGAGGTGGAGGAGCAGGCGAGTTGCTTGCAGCGCGGGAAGGATCGCTCGATCAACATAGCAATACATCGCCCTCGTCTTCGGGAATGGCAAGTCGCTCGTGGTCCAGGCCACCGAAGCGAAAGACAAGGAGGAAGGAGAAGGGCGAGGCCACATTCGAGGACATCATGGCCAAGCTCTCCACAGTTCTGGGCGTTGGCAGGAAGCACGTGTGGACCACCGAGAAGCTCCTCACCGTCGTCTCGGAGGTCGTGAAGGCTGATGGGCACCAGCGACGGAGCCCCAGCAGCAGCAGCGCCAGCGTCTACGACACCTCCGAGACCAGGAGCAAAACGCAATGACAAGCCACCGCAGCAGCCGTCACAGCAGCAGCGTAGTCCTAACCACAAGTCGCCCGACAAAGTAGAGCCAGCTATGTTACCACGACTGGCTGGCTTCAGCAGAGGGCAGGTGCTGTCAACGCCAACGGGCCTCGACACCTACTCGATGAAAGAAAGATGGACCGCCTCCAGGAGGCGGTCTCGGTGGCTACCAACACCGCTCCGCGACTTGGCCAGCTCCTCGGGCGTCGACCGTAGCATTGGCACCGTTACCAAGGTGCACAATCTAGACAAGCTCAACAGAAGTGGCTACGCATCGACAGCGACGGCAAGACAGCTCCGCTGGAAGCCTTCGTCGCCCCCTTGTGTTGAGCAGGGGCACCCCACAATTGTGGATAAAAGTGAGAGGGGCGGGCCCGGGCGACGCCGGCGTCGAGCTGGCGGACCTCGTGGCCCTCACCTTCCCTGTCGATGGCGCCCTCCTCCTCCTCCTCCTCCTCCTGCTCCTGCTGCTCCTCCTCCTCTTCCTCGTCCGCGTCCTCGTCCTCATCGTCGTCGTCGTCGTCGTGCTCTGACAAGTTCAGCCTGGGGGGGGAAATCGCAGGTTCTCCACCTGGAGCGGATGCAAAAGAAACCCGCCGCAGGCGCCGAAGTTTTGGCTTGTTCAATGAACGTAGTTTGGGTCGCGGGTGGGTCGCGGGCTCTCCACCTCAACCTGGAAGGAATTCATCAAAAAACAGCCCGCCGCAGGCGCCGAAAAAATTGATTTGTACACTGAACGCGATTTGGGTTGCGGGTGGGTCGCAGGGGTCGCAGGTTCTCCACCTGGAACGAATGCAAAAGAAGCCCGCCGCAGGCGCCGAAAATTGGGGTGGGTCGCGGGTGGGTCGCGGGTGGGTCGCGGTGGGTCGCGGGTGGGTCGCGGGTGGGTCGCGGGCGCGTTGGGTTTGGGTCCGCAGGTTCTCCACCTGGAGACGACTGCAAAAGAAACCCGCCGCAGGTGCCGAAAATTTTGGGTGGGTCGCGGGGTGGGTCGCGGGTGGGTCGCGGGTGGGTCGCGGGTGGGTCGCGGGGTGGGTCGCGGGTGGGTCGCGGGGTGGGTCGCGGGTGGGTCGCGGGGTGGGTCGCGGGTGGGTCGCGGGTGGGTCGCCGGTGGGTCGCGGGTGGGTCGCCGGGGGGGTCTCGGGGTTGGTCGCGGGCGGGTCGCGGGGCGGGTCGCGGGTGGGTCGCGGGTGGGTCGCGGATGGGTCGTGGAGTGGGTCGCGGGTGGGTCGCGGGGCGGGTCGCGGGTGGGTCGCGGATGGGTCGCGGGGTGGGTCGCGGGTGGGTCGCGGGTGGGACGACGACAACAAACAACAAACAACAACGAACAACAACAACAGCAACAACAGCAACAATAACAACAAGAATCCGCATCGCGGAATTCCACTTCAGCCACGCACCCAGGGACAGTGAATGACCGTTCGGTTCAGCCCTCTCACTCTGACAATCCCAGCCAGAACTGTTCTAGGACAATTTCGTGCAGACCCCAAAAGGTTCTTAGATCATTCTTTGGTAGGCCTATAAGCCAGTTAGGACGCTTCGCCACTGCTTGATTGTGCTCCCAGCCGCCCAGCGTCCCAGCGGTGGAGGTGGGGGCAGCTAAGGGGGCCCATGGCTTCGAACGCGATCACACCGAGGGCGACCGAGGCCATCCGAACCACGGTGGTAAAGAGGTGCGCCGGCGACGACACACAGAGGGCGAGTGCGATAAGCTCGATGCACTCTCTGTGGGGTGCGGGTGCTATCACACGTACGTGTGTTGAGCAGGGACCGATCGTCCCGACATTCCTATGGGCCTACCACGAAATGTTCTTAGAACTCCAAAATGTCAGAATAACCAAATTAATATTATTAGAAAACAAACTCGATGTGTTAAAACAAGACAGACCCGGCCAGAAATGGTTTTAGAACATTGTTTGGGCAGCATGTCGTGCACACCACAAAAGTTCTCAGAACATTCTTTGGTGGGCCTGTGGGCGAGCCAGGGCGCTTCGCCACTGCTTGAGTATGGCGTCCGGATCCGAGGCATCGGAGGTGAGAGATGTTGGCCATGCCTCGCGACGTATCACAACAAGACCGAACGGGAAACGTACGTTGTCCGTCTGGGCCGGCCAGCCTCGTCGCCGAGCGCTCGGTCTGCAACGCGGGTAGAGCGCCCGTCGAGTGAGCAGCTGCGACACGGACGAGTTGTATAAGATGTACCTCGGCCGAGCATTGTGTCTGCAGGGACAGGGCGCACGAGGGCTTGCTTGCTGACGTGGATGGCAGGCCTCACGGGGCTGGCGACTGCCAGAGCGCAGCGAAGCTCGATGTGGGATTAGCCGCAGGCAGCTATATCATCCTCCATCCCTCATCCTCGTCTGCTCCCGCACGTAATCTTCCGTCTGCACGGTTTCCCCCGGGGCCGTGGGCGACCCGAGGAGGAGGAGGAGGCGGAGGAGGGGAAGGGGGAGGAGGAGATGGAGGATGAGAGGGAGGAGGAGGAGGAGGAGGAGGAGGAGGAGGAGGAGGAGGAGGAGGAGGAGGAGGAGGAGGAGGGAGGAGGAGGAGGAGGAGGGGAGGGAGGGAGGAGGAGGAGGAGGAGGAGGAGGGAGGAGGAGGAGGAGGAAGACTAGCTACGAACAGACATGCGGGAACTTACCTCCGCTCTTGGGGGGCAACCCCCTGGACAGCCGTGACAGAACCTCTATCCCTGCTTTGGAGGGGGGCCTGTCAGTCTTGCAAGGCTGGGACAAACTCTGCGCATTCACTGTTGCATGAGCACCACAATGCAAACAGTAAAGAACACCTCTCAAAACTTGCAAACGATGACTCCTGGCACACCTGGGGTACAGGGGGTGGACCAGAGGGTCAGAGGAGAGGTGGGGAGGCCCAGCACATGGGCCAGGGAAAAAGTCTTGGACCTTCCCCCTCAACAAGAACTTACGCGCACAAATCCCACACTGGAGGCAAAACCCTCGGCGCGTCGGCTCGTGGCCCGCCGCCCTCAGACGGCCCTTGCGCACCAGAAAGGAAGGCAAGGGTGCAGGCCTTGGGGGGGGGGCGCCCGAGCCTATCCGAGACACGCCGAGGGTTC